AGGACCAAAGAGAGCAAGAATACTCATATTGCGCTATCACCAAGTGCCAATCTACAAATACCAGGAATGCATGCTTTAACTTCTTAAACTGGAATAGGAATCCAAAATTGTTTGCGTCTTAGGTAAATAATACCATGCATACTGGAAGAAATGAAGCCTGTTACCTACAGATTGGTTTTCTGGTTAAGCTCTGACCTGAGTTTCTTAGTGCCTGTCAATATGATTTGCATTGTTCCCTTCTTGCAGGGGGAGCTTAACAGAGTCTGTTTATTCTACCAAGGCATTTATTTTTGTAAAATTTGCAGGAACTTACTACTAATGAGACTTCTAATCCTCTAGATCTTCTGAATAAGATAGACCAATGTGATCGTGTAAATCTAATTTCATGTCATTCAGGAGCAGTGTTAAACAGGGAAAATGTATCTCGACGTTTTTCTGCTTGATATATTTGGATTCAGAGCAGTGCTTTGCAATTTAGCCCCCTTCCAAGAGGTGACTGTTGTCACTCTTCCTGTGCAGATCTAGCTTTTAGAGTTGCACTCTGTTTTACTTTCCTTTTTCCCTTAATTTGAAAGGTCAAAAGCAATCTGCTGCATTTTCTAATCTTTCTTTTAACGCTTCCCCCCATCGTGCCTCACGCTATTTTACTTTGATATTTATGTCTTTTTTTTTTTTTTTAAAAAAAAAAACTCTGTATGGATTACTGCTGCCCTTAGTTGTTTTTTCGGAGGGGATGTGTCTATAAACCTGTAAGTATCTGCATTATTTTGCTCCTCTTCCTACATTCTCTGCTTTTTTTCTCTTCTCTTTCCATTTTCTTCTGTCAGTAGATTACGGTGTCTTAGTGACTATATTACTTGTTATATAACAATTCGTTTTGGAAGCGTGATTTAGTATATGAACAGTGTCTGCTTTAAATATTGCAAATCAAGCTTATGCAACAAGACTGTTTTGACCAGGTTTCATTCCAGAGCTTCTCCTTATTCATTATGTCTTTCTGTCCTGGTTCCAGAAATTCCCTAATTGTAGTCAAACGCATTTGCACTTTTGATTTCCGTATTTTACTGTATCTAATACTTTCATTGTATAATAACATAATACTATTTTTTTTATTGGCTTCTGTAAACCTTAATATTTAGTTGTCTCATCTAACTATACAATTGGGATAGAGCATATGTGAAATGTGGTGTCCTTCATGACTCACGTGATCTTCCACTGTATTTGCCTTGTGGAAGTTTCCTTGTTACACCCTTGGCAGATCAGTTGGTACTGATGATTGGCTTTATTCTTTTTCTGAATAATGGTTGCATTGCTTTGAGCTGCTTTTCAATGGCTGGTGAAAGTATCACTGGAGCTCCAGAGGCTCCAGAAGTGCCAGTTGTATGGGGAAAGGTTTGAATTTGAGCTTTAGTATTCATAAGCTTCCCATGAAGGCAAGAATAAAAGAATTGGGTCTATGTAGTTAACTTTCAGAACAGACTCCTTTTTGAGAAGAGACTAACCTTAGAGAAATATTTATCTGAAATTTCCAGAAATCTGGGCACTTAAAGTAATAGTTGCTCTTATATTCATAATAATAACAATAATCATAATCTATAGAAAATAATAATTTTGGCTATAATAATAGGAGGCCGCCTCTTCTGTGGTATTCTACCAGTCTCCAAACTATCGCTGACATACTGTGATAGTTCATTATGATATGCTAATCTCTTCTATGACATCCCATATTTTGGGGCATTTTCTAGGAAATTCTGAAACATTGCAACTGTTGTCACTATTGATCATGGCCCTGCAGAAACAGAAAACTTGCACTGCAGTGGAAATAATGTAATTAATTACGCATACAAAGGAGCGACTTCCAACCTACTTGACACCTAAATGATAATGTTCTCATTTTAGCTGGGTGAGGCTGAGAAAGGAGAAGCAGAGTCTGGCTCAATAAGAGTCTCTCAGATGGTTGCGAGAAGACCCATGAGAGATTTCATTGGATTAGGAGACTGTGATAAGACTACCCAGGATGCAATTCTGAACTTCAGCTTCTATCTGACTGCTGGAGACATGGATGAGGCCTTCAAATCCATCAAGCTGATAAAAAGGTATCATAAGTATTTGTATTTCTTTCATTAGAAGTTTGTATGAAGTCTTGATCCTCCTAAATTCTCCTTACATTTTTCCTCTCTCATCTCATTCTCCCTTTCATTTTTAACAAGATGAAATATCTTTATCCTACAGACATTTTAATGTATTCCCTGCTTATTCTTTGTCTTCTAGACATTGCAAGCTCTGTGGATTATTTTTTACTAAATGGGAAAAAATGACTGATAACAAGCAACCTTATTCTGTGCCTGAATGGCAAAAATCTCATGTTATCACTAGAAGAAAGTGAACATTCACAACTTTATTTATACATCTAAAATAATCACAGTAATACTGAGTATTACAAATTTATCGACCACATAGCTGATTTTTAAATTTAAATGTACATTATTATAATATGGATATTGCAATATTAGAAGAAATAATATAATGTCTTTTAAATATTCCAATACTTTATTTTTAAAAAACCCTGCAATTAATCATAGCATATTATTTCTAGAAAATATTTTCCAGAAAGTAATGCAGGCAAACGAATACAAATCTTAGTTGGTTTTTACAAACCTACTGCTAGAAGAAACTCTTTGTCAGCTTTACGGTATTCTACCCTGATAGTCTAGAACAAGGCAGCTGTTCTAGAGCATCAGTCTCTGCAGAGCGTTGCTCACTGTGAACGTGGTGCAGAGCAGCAGTCGGGGCCGAGTTTCTTATTACATCAGAACTGAGTGCAGAACAGAACTCAAGAGCCAGCTTGATGATCACATTTTAACAAAGTGTGGAACATTGTAGTGGGAATAATGATAAAGAAGAAAAGCAGCAGACTCAGCCGGGAGCAACACAACAGTCCTAAAGAATTTGTAACGTTCACAGCTCGTGGTCCTTCAAACCTATCAGTAACCCTGCTCAGAGTAGCATTGTTAGAGTTTTAAAGGTCTGTCATTGCCTCTAGTTCCTGTATCCGAAGTATTTCTGCATAATATTTTTTGATCTGTTGTTTTTCTTCCTGAAAGTATGTGCACATGACTTCTGTGAGCCCTTGTGCTTCTCAGGGTCAGGCTTATAAATGTTATGCCTAATTCCAAAGGCACTACTTACTGTCATTTCATTACCATATTAAGTCACCAGGCAGGCCTTTCTTGAAATTGCATGCTTAAGTCCTGTATCTTTGTCTTTTTCTCCAATTTGGATGCTTGAGTAGCAGTTACATTCTCCAGCATTCACTGTGTTATGTGCCTCTGAGCATTGCTGGGCAGAGCCGCGTGTCCTGTCGTAGCACCCTGATCTGAAAGTGTCACAGCAAATGTTAAAGCAAGCTGGGAAGAAAAGAAATTAATTTGGGCTGAAATATCTGTTCTTAATAATTGTTTCCAATAATGTAAGTTAATGACATCTGTGATTGTTAGGGAGACCAGGTAACCTTCTTCTGTAGATGCTTGCCCTCATGGTAACACTGAAGTGGATTTCTCAGTGACATGTGTGGCCTCTTCTAGCTGCGTACCCTTTTAATTGTTAATGGCATCTCTGTTTACATACAGGATAAACCCAAACCTTTGCCTCAGGATACAAAGAAGCGTCTGAAAAATGCAACTTCATTTTTCTGCATTCCCTTAGTTTACGGTTAGAATGGTTAGAGTTGCTTTTGCTTTTTACTGTCTGGGCTGTGCTGTGGCTGGGGAGCAGGGGTTGCAGCTAATGAGAAGCTCCTTGAAGAGGGGTGGATGGAAGGGCTAAAGATTCATGAAACTTAAACAGCTGTTAATCATCACTAATTCTATGGTGAGTTTTGTGCCTGTTAACTGCAAAGCTATTGTCACTGGTCTCCTATAGTTTTTTACATTATTATTAGGGAGCAGGATAACTTTATGCAGACAGAGAAAATGCGTTTGGTTGCCTTTTTTCTATATTCTCATTGCATATGCTCTGTCTGCTACAGCTGACCCTGCTGAAAGGTAGCTGTGATGCTCTGTCAGGATTCTGACAATCCAACATTCTGTGCTGTACAGCAGAGGAAGAGGGCAATATAATATATATAAAATTATGTGTTTTATACATATGTATATAGATGGAGCCCATCCAAATAATAATTGAGGGCCTCTGCCCACAAGAATGAGCTTTGTGATGTCTTTCAACCCTTAGTTTTTAAATTATAGCATATATTTATAGAAGACAGCTCCACGCAGATCTCAATAGAGATTTTCCCCCTTTCAAGTCCACTTTCAGCATGGTGACTCAACATAGTCGTTTTCCAGGCCACGGCGAAACCGAGCGGTCAGTGTACGGCTGATGACAATGACCCGTGGTGCCATGCAGTCCTCACGCCTGTGAAGGATGTTCCATATGAGAATGGCAGCTGCCAGAGTGGCCAAAAGACAGGCTCCAATGTTCAGATAGCAAGACCAAGAGAGGTTGGTGTATGGTCCGATGCGGTAGAAAGTCACCAATCCGATAACCAGAACAAAACCTGCAAGGAGAATGTGAGAATTATTTTTAATGTGTTATTCTCTTGAATTTCTGTAGTGGCAAGATGCCATAGGCAAACATTCATGAGTCTGTAAAGCCTTTCCATCCCTGTTAAGATGTGCTGTATCTGTTCTTGAAGACCTATTTGGGCATGATGATGTATGCAAAGACTGGGTGCCTGAAATGGAGTCTGGATGTTAAGTTTAAATCTGTTCACTCCGATTTAAATTTCTTACTCCCACTTAGCTGTATTTCACATTGTGTTTTTCCCCATCCTCTTGTCTCACTTATGCAGATGTCCTCTTTCCTATTCATGCTAAATATCTTATGGAAATAATAAAAAAAAAAAAAATGTACAGAAGCTTCAAAAAAAGGGAAGGTGAAATAAATGGGACTTCACAGTCCTACTTTTTCTATGCTGAAAAAAGTGTTATGAGGCAGGAATAATATCATGCTTCCAGAAGCTACCAAAGGCAAGGTTTTCATTCCTTTCCTAACCTTAAGCACAACAGTAAGTTCCCTGAAGGGAAGGCAATATTAGAGTAATAACACTGCACTTGTCTAACATTGCCATACAGATATCAATGTCATTTGCAAAAAAAAGAAAGAAAGAAACGTTTTTCCCCATTCTTTTTGGTAGACACCACTGATAAATAGTCATGTTATTTCAGAGCTGAGGTGGGGTGACTTTTCTACTCATGCAGGAGGTCCACATTAGAACAAGGGGCAGAATCTGTATCCCTTGACTCCTACTTTTTTTGTTACTTTTTTGTCTTTTCCCTGAAGAACGCATCGATTGGCATGCAATTACTTTTCTGCCCTCTGTTTATTGTATTAGTCTCTCTTCCTGTCCCTACTCTCAAATAAAAGTACTTTTCAGCTATTTAAGAGGAGTGATTGATACATGTGATAGATTGAAACAAACACACAGAGAGGCAAATATGCCTCGCTAACCAGAAAAAGGTTTTCTCTTTGTTCTCCTACACATTTCCTTAACCACCACCATAACACCAGAAATACCATTGACCAAAGGCCCCTCCGTGAAGGAAGACTAGAATGAACGAAGGCCCGTAAACACCCAGAGGATTTCTAGATACTGCCTTGCTAAGTTCATGGGCAAGGACAGTCAAGAGCAAGTAAGCCCTAGTGGCTGCATGCTGTTTTCTCAGTTAGCCAAGCTGCTTGCAAGCACTGGTCCCACAGATACATGGAAGTGCTCGAAGATGCTGTGACACCTGGCGCTGGTCTTTGATTTTCCATGAAAGAGCACATCCTGAGTATGCATCGTATCAAATTTCTTTCTAAAAAAAGAGTACTAGTAATGCAGTGAAGGTGGAAAAGACACAGATTATAGGCAGGTAAAAAAATAGAGCAGGGTAATGAAATACAAATAGGAGAAAAAAATCAATCACTACTTCAGTAGGTGTGGCACTTATGCTATCCTGAGTCTCAATAGTGTGAAGGCTGAATCCCCTATACTGCTATAAAAATAGCAATGCATGAGTATTAATTCAGGAGACGTCTGGCGCCTCAGCACTCTTGTGTCTACTTAGAAAGTGGTTTGTAACTCAGTTGCTTGCTACGCCTTCTCCTGCAGTAGCGCTGTCCCACCGATGGCATGTACCAGAAAGGGGTTTGAAGCGAGGCGTCTCTTCCTAAGGATATTTGAGGAGGAAATAGGTTCTTACAGGAGGAGTAGCTCTTTCCTGCTCTTCTGCCACTCTGTGCTAGCCTTTGCTCTGAAAAAAGTCCAACTCACCCTGGATGGCTGTCGAGTCAGTTGTCAGGACAGCAATTAATAACTCCTTGATTGTGTCAGTAAGTCTAGTAGTTATTTAACGGTTCAGCTTAGTTATAAATGAACAACTCCTTTTCATCTGGGAAAAGCGTGGCCACATGGAGCACAGTGATTTAATTGAGTTGCAAAGTCACTGATTTGTCCAATAGTTGTTCACTAGCACTCTCAGGCTGAGCCTGCAGACTTAGGACGCCTTTTTAATGTTAGCCAAGTTGGAGGTGGAATCCCAATACATAGGTGGTCATCTAGCATAATTTCAAGATAATAGAGGTTTGAAAGTTGCTTCTGGACTCCTGTACAAAAAATACTGAGTTATGGTTGAGGTAGAAAAATTGTGAAGTTGTGCTTCTGACAGATTAAGCTTAAATCTTCATTTATTTTTTTTTTTTTTTTAGTAATCACTGTTGGATGACACACTTTATATCAGATTATGCATGCTTTTTGAAATCCTGGTCTCTTGAAGCCAGGCAGGCGTTATCTACATCCTTGGATGGACTGTTGAAGGCAAATCATCTGTCTCTGAAGGAGTTAATTTTTCTGCGTGTCCATGCACTTAGCTTATCACCACGTGGAAGTGGAAATGTTCTCTCCCTGTGCATTCAGAATCCTCACCGAAGTTTGCAAATGTTTTTTCAGCATTCACAGAACACTACTTTTGTCCCCAAAGCCACAGTTAATTGTGCTCTTCCTTTTCTGTGATGTTTCCTTGAATTGCTTTTGAATTCTCATGACTTTGCTGTTTGGTGTTATCTGGGTCCTATATGACTTTCATCTATTTCTCTATTGTTAGCAGGAACAGCATAGAAGACGATTGCAGCAGAACTAGGAAACCAAATAGTTTTCCCTCACTGGCAGTGTCATTCTGAGTTCAGCTTGTCCTGAGGCACATGGTAGAGAAGAGAGGGGCAGATCAGATCCTATACTGTGGAATACATCAGGTTTTTTAAACTCTCCTCTGAGATGACTCTGTTCCCCGTTAGTGGAACCAAGACACTAAAAATTCTGTTCTCCTGAGTTTTGTTTTGTATCTCAGGGCTTTGGGAGCAGAGCGTGCCAGCTGTAAGGTGTTTATAGAGAATGTATATCTCTACAGTTACATTTGAGGTCTTGTGTTCTCACGATACAGGTTAACACTGATAGTGCTTTGCTCTTCCACAGTTTGTAGTCTGCTTTTCAAAGGATGACAGATGCCAGTTTTCTCATAAACCTAGGAAATGGAGAGAAAGGGAGGTTGCTTGCACCTCCTGCGACCAAGTTGTGGACCTGTTTCTTTTCCTTCTGGTTTAAAATTCACAGGAAGGAGGGTACTGAGGTAGAAATCAAGATACCCATCTTACTGATGTCTGGCACATGATAAGATGTTGTGTGGTCAGTTTTCCTTTTCGAGTTTTCCTTTCAGAACTCTTTTCCAGTTCACAAGGAATCCAAAAAGGATTGAATAAATTAAAAAAATGTTTGAAGCAAATAATAAAACCTTAAGCAGGAAGAACTTTGAACCAAAGTTGGTTTTAACCAGTAACCTCTTACAGGTGCCTCTAAGGGACAGTTACAAATATTAGCAACAGTCCGCTTTATGCTTGTTTGAGTTTCTCTTGGCAGAGGGAGCTAGGTCAGGAACACCACTCACACAGAGTAACCCTGATGCTGCGTTGTGTCTTGCAGCTTAACTTCCAGTTACTGAATTGTGACTGGTGCTTTCCCACTGTAGGTTTTCAGGTATTTACCATTAATCTCTAGTTTAGAGAAGTAACGGATGATCAGCACTTCCAGTTTCCGTGCTGAAAGCCAGGTCTGCGTGTGCTGGGGAAAGCCTTTAGAGGGATGTAATCCCCCGGGCGTGTGTTTTGCCTCATTCTTTGCTCACTTGGGCAAGGCAAGCAGTGGTGGGCTATACACATTCTTTTATGGCACAGTAGAAGTAAATAAATGCTGTAGGAATATTTTTAATATTTAAACTATTTTCTAAACACCTGGTTTTTAATTAAATTACTTAGCTTTTTCTTTCTTGCTTATGTATCCCTTATGGCCAATTACTGCTCTAAATGGCTACACCTCTCCATGCTTGACCGGCCACCTTCATGAGCTCCTTTCCATCTGATGGAGAAATTATCCACCAGGAAAAAGCTTCCTTACAGGTAGCAAAATAAAACTACTTATGCTAGCAAGACTATTTCCCTTCGCAGGCCCTTTGCCTGAGCCCTGATCAGGTGAGCAGCCTGATGCAAGGGGCTTTCTCTCATTGTGTGCCAGTGCCTGAGCAGGGTGCAGCGGGGTGTGGGGGAAGCGGGAGATGACGGGTGTGACAGCTCCCCGGCTGGACAGGTAGCAGGAGTGAGTCACTGCAGCTCCTGGGGCCTGTTTAGAATACTTTGCTGCAGGCTGGACAGGAACTGCCTTTAAGAAGAGAGAAGAACATGACAGGGGTGGGAGAGTTGGAAGCGTGCTAGTGTAGAGTTTCCACAATTAGTTTTACAGTTCTGCCACTGTGAGCTCCAGAATAAAAATGATGCTGCAAACATTATTTTCCAGCGTTCTTATTTCATATCAGCCTGACCTGATACGGGATTTTAAATGTAGGAAATCAAGAGCAAAGGGCGAAGAAATCGCACTGGTCCAAAAAGACTGAGTTTGCATAGGATGACAAATGTCGATGAATGCTGCTTTCGTAAAAACGTTGTGTGAAAACCCCCAGAGTTTGCTTGGAGAGATTTTGTTTGTAATAATTTAATCAAAATTAGACTCCTTGAAGTGAAGCATTCCAATGTGCTGCTTATGTTTTCCTTGTCCTTAGAGTGGTCTTGTACAACAGCGAAGAATTAAGATGGAACATTTAGCAGCAAGTCTGTTCTCTACTTGACTGGGCAAATACATTCCGTTCACTTCTTTGTGCCAGCCTGGCCCTTCTCCCTCAGTAGCTCCTCTTTCTTAGGGAGAGTAGACTTTTTAATTTTGGGGGTTTTTTATTCCTGTGTTATACAGATGTACCTGAGAGGTGGTGTCTTCCTAGTTTGGATGAAACCTTGTGAATAATGATGTGTGTACCCTGTGGTTACAAATCCAAGCGTACGGATGCAATAATACTCAGTTTCTGTAAGGGGGAAGAATGGTACTGAAGTTTGACTAAAGTTTTATTCTTACCAACAGAGCTGAAGCACAGCTATTTGCATCATACTGGTATCTCCTGTTCTGCTTACTGCCTTTAC